GTTCATATTAAAAGGTGTTTATACGAAAAGATATTGTAAATACAACAATAAAGATATGTACATATTGTAATTCTTTGTAAATAAAAGCTTTGAAATAAAACATAATATTTTCTTAGATGTCACTGATAGATATGATATAGAACACGTGATATCTATGGTCACGTGAGTCAATGTTCGGCCACTGAATCATCACGGAACCAGCCGGAATGAGATAACACTTAATGTCAGTAACCATCTCATGTATATTTTTGATGTATTAAGAGTGAACGTGACCAGCCATAACGGTAAACGTACCATAGTACCGTACACTCGGGTCATCTCTGATGAATGAGGAGCCGGGATTTGTAAGAGAAACTCAGATAGCAGCCCTTCAATTAACGGTCTCTGCTTGCGCATGCGTTTTAGGGGAAATTGATTCTTCTTCGTTCCCAGGCCATTTTCCCTGGTTCGAAAACTAAGAAGAAATATTGATGAAGTTGAATGGGAGAGTCTTGGGGAAAGTCAGTCACTCAACTGGTAAAAAGGGTCACAATGTATAATAAATGTATAATGTGACATCCTACTCTATTAATTAAAGTCAATCAAATCAATAATTACACAGTGTTAAAACTAACGTGAATAACAATTATTCATGTGTTATATAACCATGCTCATTTTGGATAAGCATCGAATCTTCATGATTGCTACTGTTTCTTTTATTCAAAACCGCATCGCAATTTATACTTGTGCGATCGACACAACATTGTAACCTGTATTCTTAGTTGAACAGATATACATGGAAACATCAAGAAAACTGGAAATAAATGTCTAATACACTGACTAATCATTACTAAACTAATAATTTTCACGAAGATAAAATATTTTTCTATACAAAATAAAAATTGCCAAGACAGAARCGCCTGGATATTTCTCCTTTTAGTACGAGTTTTGATCGAGGTACTTAAAAATTCACATTCTTTTTCTTCGATGTTGCATATCCACGCCATTGGTTTTTTAAATTAATTTTAACATTGTTCCTATTCCCTGAGTTATAAGCTTTGTTCAAGAGCAAGCTTTCAGTTTAAAAATCGGTTTTTCGGCCTGTTCATTGATGGATCAAGAACCAGTTCAAAAGCAGGTACATGTCAAAGACCGTTACCAACTGAAGAATGACAGAAAACTTGTAAATACAATACGTAAACAAAGCTCTCAGAGACTGTGAAAACAGCCATGTCGCGGCTTCATACATTATAGAAGCTGTCTTATATACGATAATGAATTGCGGGTTGCAATTTGTAAATTATCCTGCCGTAGGTTAGCTCAGTTGGTCGTGATGAATATTTATAAGCCTGTGACGGGTCGTTCACACTGTATATGGCATATCCCACTTAGAAATGGCACTTTATAATTACTTTKTGACATTGTGTGGCTGTAGAATAAGAAAACGGAACGCTAGACAGTCTCATGGAATGGCAAGTATTTTCACTTTATTATTTTTGATATCATTATGTCATGGAGACGGCGTGTTTTTCGGAAATGTTCGTCAACTTCAGCAGTCACCTGTACAAGGGAATTCWTCACTAGCTGGTAATCTTATAAACGATACTTTAAATTTTACGCCAAAGGAAGCTACAATGAGTACACTACAGAAAAGCAACAATACAACGACAGAATTTGACAGTTTAAGTAATATTACGCAGGTATTTATGAACGATTCTTCTTTGGACGCTATTATTAGTGACGTCACGACGAGTCGAGATCAGAACGGAACAATGGATCTTGTTGATGTCAAAAATGTAAATAACGGCGACTTTACAAAGCTCGGCATACAAGTCACTTCTGGCAAGTTTAATGTTAATAAATCAAGAAACAATGACACCAAAAATAATAATATTTCTACGAAAGAAAGTAATGATAAAATTGATAATCATATATTATCACAAATAAATCAAAATCTTACTGATCTTGATGAAGAAGAATTAAACGATAATTCAACGATCGTCACTCCTGAGGAAAAGGAAGAGATGGATAAACTAACACATGACATTAAAGAAATGCTGGAAGACAATTGGAAAAAGTATCTAAAAGGTAGACARCCTTACGGYGAGAAAATCAAAGATGACGTTACGTTCGGCAGTTCGTATTACACGCAAGGGATACTTACGTTACCGTATGACGGRATAACTGAACCATTTGAATCGTGGTATGCTGGCAAGAAGCATATGAGTCGAATYGATTACTATTATGGTATGTATTAAAATCTAATCATTATTAATTGAATTGTCAGTTTGGGAATTAAAAGAAAAATATCTCTTTTGTTTCTGGAAAAGAATAATTCCTCTTCCGGGAGTTTTTTGGAATTCCACATACCCCCAAAACCTTTTTAATGATTGGTGATCRCCTATTTTGTGTTGTCTCGTACTGACATAATCATAGACGTCTTCTTAAACATTTAAACTGCTGGGAAATACTGCCTTATGGCAATGATATAATGATGGCAACGACTTCTTGCTCATCAAAATGTACCACGGTACCACTGGTCTGCAGTTTGCCTTAAATCGTATATGATTCAAGCATCTCTACTCATTGCTAATATGAAGCAATATTATGATTAAATCTGACAGYCATTTATAAAACTTTAAACAAACAGTCAACTACCTGTGCTTCCGCGTAAACAACATGTAAACGTATACTGACCCATGGAATTGTTGAAACRTTTCACCGTAAAATTATGTGTGGTACTTAATTGGCAATAGTCCRCAKTGCAACTGAAGCTATTTTGCTTTATTTGCSAASGTTTGGTTTAGTTTCRCGTCTAAGAAATGCACGTAGTTTTGGTCTTTCGGACCGAAGAAGTGGAGATCAAAGTTTCAATATTTTGGTAGTTTACAATGAATCGTCTATGTATCGTCTCTRTGGCTCTTATGACTGTGATMGTAGTCACTGGTGTTGGAGTCATTGTCAGTAGAATCATCTACAAACAGCAGAGAGAGTGCCGACATCATGATTTACCGTCTGCCGGGGGCAGCGCTTGTCAAGATGGCAGCATTTCTCAAGATACCAATCGCTTTGGGTTTCCCGATACTTATAGGGCTAGTGGTATGATTCATTTGCCTTTGGATGATATCCATGAACCTTTTAATGCGTGGTATTCCCGACAGCATCATATGAGTAGAATTGAYTATTATTATGGTAAGCTGTCGCAGTAATAGACTAGCAGTCGGCAGKTATATTATCATGGCATACCGTGCCTTCTACAACAAGTTTCTTATCGATCAATACTGTAGGTTAACTAAAAGACGTGCTGCGTTTCGCCTTAAAATATTCATAAAAACATTATTTGAAATATGATTTTTATTGCCATTAAAAAATTCCTTTTTTCGAACATCTGCATGTCTTATTAAAGAGGTGGGCTCAGTAGACTTKTGTTTGTTGTGCATAATACTGAGTAGTGAAATGTGACAAAATCTAAAAAAAATCGTGTCTGAAGTAAATCTATATCAGCAAAGGTTACATAACTTCCCAAAACACTAGTTAGAGATAGAACTTATAATCTTATAATTATTTAATTCCAGGAATGGATAAGACGTTCCAGCGTGGGGATTTACGGGAYCACGGYGTCATGGTAAAAGTAATTCCTGCACACTATGGTAAGAATGGTGATCTGGACAAAAATACCATCAGTTGTTGGTATCGACCAGGTTTTCGATGGAATCCAGTCAAAGCGCAACGASTTGTTCCAAGCAATCTTAAGGATTTCAAGGTGAGAAGATTAATTATCTGGGGAAAGAACATAATCAATAATAGTTAAATCTCYTTTGTCACAATAGTAGTTAACTCTTCCTTACTAGTCATATGCCTGTCGCAGTACCACACATATATCAAAGATATGTTTATGGATATCTTCACGCAAGGGC